ATGACCTGACTGAAAAATGTTGGATTTTATACCTGGATTATTGAGCATGGACTTTGTTGTTTTCAACCAGTTTGACACGACTGTCAACAAGGAAGAGGGCCGGCAATGGAGGAGGGGGCGTGACAAAGAGACCATCTTAGCACCAACATAACTGGTTTGTTCCACTTTGGAGTAAGCTGTTGGGGGAAGAATCAGTTTTGTGTTGTGTGTTTCATTGACTGATGAAGCCTTCCGGATCGAAGGTGAAACATTTCAGCACAAAAAAAGAAACTGTCCAAATGACCTGACAGAAAAATGTTAGATTGTATACCTGGATTATTGAGCATGGACTTTGTTGTTTTCAACCAGTTTGACATGACTGTCAACAAGGAAGAGGGCCGGCAATGGAGGAGGGGGCGTACCAAAGAGACCATCTTAGCACCAACATAACGATTCTATATTTATTTTGTTGTTGTTGGTTTGCTTTGTTTTGTTTTTTTGAATATCCAGAGGACCAGATTTAACGTTTTTAGATTTTTCTACCTGGATTGTTGAGCATGCATCAGGATATCAACATAACTGGTTTGTTCCACTTTGGAGTAATTCAATTCAAATTCAATTCAAAAATACTTTATTAATCCCAAAGGGAAATTATTTGTTGTGGTAACTCGTTATCCTCATTTCATTAAGAGATGGTATAGATACTGATGCTGTAGACAGGAAGGATCTCTTGTAAAGGTCCATCCCACAGTGGATCCTAAGAAACTGGCTGCAGATGCCGTCCGATCCGTCCACCCAGACTCGGCTGGCCTCTTGGTTCCCCCGGGCTGTAGGACCACCCGAATACCGGGCAGAACTCCTCCCAGTGCGATGGCCACTCCGCCCAGCAGTCTGCAGAGCTCCTCGTCGCTGTGGACAGCCAAATGTAGGCGCCGAGGGACGATCCCGTCCTTCTGCTGTCATGAGCCGTGTTTCCTGCTAGTTCCAGGATCTCAGTGGTCAGGCACTCGAGCACAGCTGGCAGATAGATGAGAATGCGTCCACAGAACATCCTTTTCAACTCATTTGAGATTTGGGGCTGTAGTTGAGATATTATTTGAGCTTTTGAGATGTTAATCAGCTGCTGTTGGTTGTAGAAAACTGCCTTGTTGCCATGGTTACGCATCATAACAAATGTCCAAAACTAAAAAAGTTTCGGTAAAAATCCTTCCAGCTGCACAGCATCTTATACCAGAGGAAACAATCATCCAAAAAATGTGATTTACATCCAGAAAAACAGGAATTAAAGTTTCCAAAAGCAAAATCTCAGAATGAAAGTAACAGAGATGCTCCAACATGCAGCCACCTTGACCGGCGCAATTCTAGAACTAGAATATTTGGAATTTGGAATAAATTTGGAATTTGGAAAATTTGGAATTTGGAATTCTAGAATAAGTTGCTGGGGGAAGAATCAGTTTTGTGTTTTGTGTTTCCTTGACTGATGAAGCCTTCCGGATCAAAGGTGAAACATTTCAGCACAAAAAAAGAAACTGTCCAGATGACCTGACTGAAAAATGTTGGATTGTATACCTGGATTATTGAGCATGGACTTTGTTATCTTCTTTTACGAAATAAAAATTTTCATAATACATGTCATATGAAGTTGTTTTTCTTCTTTCAGCTGCTCCCTTCCTTAGAGGTCACCACAGTGAACTAATTCACATGAAAACTTGGCAATTGTTTCCATACTGGTTGCTCTGCCTGACGCAACCACAGACCACAGAGATACCACAGCCTTCTGTGTGGAGCACAGTGCTGCCATCTAGGGCACATATGGTGGAGCAGATGGCTCAAGTGCCCAGAGTAGGGCAAATGAAGGTGGAGGCAGGTGTGGGTGCTTCACCTTTTCCACTTTGATGATGTCAGACTGGGGTTTCGAACCCGCGACCTTCTGAACACAAGCTCACCTTCTCCCCTGGTAATTATAACTGGGATGACAGTTGTTTTAGGGTTCTGTGCAGGATGACATCATTCATGCCAGAGTGGGAAGGTATAAGCAGTAGAGAGAGAGAGGTTAGAGCTATAAAGTAGTGTAGGAATATACATTTTATTAGTGTAATGCTAACTTAATATATGATACCTATTTCACCAGCCACCCACAATATGTGTGGACACAGGGCTGATTCTCTGACAAGCTGGTCTTTAGTGCAGAGGCCCTGCATGGAACTGTACAGGCACCGTTCCTGTTCACCCTTGACACTGCAAACTTCTCCATCAATTCCCAAGGATACGATCTGCTAAAGTTGTCTGCTGACTCTGCCATAGTCTGACACATCACATGCAAGGACGACTCAAAGTACAGACAGTGGACACAGGACTTTGTGGACTGGTGCCAGCAGAACCACCTTCTGATCAACACGGGGAAAACCAAGGAGCTTGTTTGTGGATTTCCGCAGGTGCAGACCCACCTCACTGACATAAGTGAACATCCAGAGAGCTGACACTGAGATAGGGGACTCTTACCTGGATGTTAGAAACTAGACTGGAGTCACAACACTGATGCACTTTATATGAAGGGGCAGGGCCGACTGCTGAGAAGACTGAGGTCTTTTGGAATACAAGGGGTGCTCCTGATACCTTTGACTCTGTGGTGGCATCAGCCATCTTCTATGGTGTAGTCTGATGCAGGAGAGGAAGCAATTAGATAAGCTCATCAGGAAGGCCAACTCTGTGCTAGGATGTCCACTTGAGTGGTGGAAGACAGAAGAACGGTGGTAAAAACACTATTTGACAATGTTTCGTCCCACCCGATGCAAAGCTGTTAGGTGCACAAAGGAGCGCTATCGCAGGTTCTTCCTCCAAGCAGCTGTTTGACTTAACCATAACCATAACCACTCACAACAAACTCAATAACTGTTTACTGTACATCCCTGTTGTTATCTGGGAGAGACTCAGAGTAGAACCGCTACTCCTCCATGTCGAGAGGAGCCAGTTGAGGTGGTTTGGGCATGTGGTAAAGATGCCCCCTGGGCGCCTCCCTAGGGAGGTGCTTCAGGCATATCCAACTGGGAGGAGACCCTGGGGAAGACCCAGGACACATTGGACAGACTATGTCTCTTGGTTGGCCTGGGAACACCTTGGAATCCTCCCAGAAGAGCTGGAAGAGGTGAAGGTGGAAAGAGATGTCTGGGCCTCCCTGCTCAAGCTGCTGCCCCCGCAACCCGACTTCAGAACAAGCGAAAGATAATTGATGGATGGATGGATAGATATACATCCCTGCTGTCACTAACATTCTTTTCAATCCTTGGACATAGTGTGTTGTTTTCTTTTACATACCAAAACACATGACCATGTTGTACATTCTTTAAATTATCCTACTCAGTGAACATCTCTTGAATCTAGGTATGATATATTTTATAATTGGACAGATTTTTTTTCCTCTTAATATGCCCTTACTATACAGTCTCATTCATATTCTGTTCATCCATACATACATCTATCTAACCATCCATCATTATCTTTACCCACTTCTTCCTTTTCAAGTCATGGGCGTCACTGGTGCCCATATCCAGCAGTCGTGTGAGAGGCAGGGTACACACTGGACAGGTCGCAAGTCCATCACAGGGACACAACAGAGACAAACAAGACAAACAACCATTCACTCTCTCACTCACACCTAGAGACAATTTAGAGTTAATTCTGTGTTTCTGTTTTTTTTTGTTTTGTTTTTTTACCTTTGTGTGGATCTGCATAGTTTTATTTACCTGTCACTTTGCTGCAGGTACATCTGATTGTCCGCACAGAGGGACATTAAAGATTAATAAAGATTAAAGATTAAAAATTTAAGATTTGGGGGAGTAGTGGCGCAGAGGTTAGAGAGGTGGGCCTGTGATCTGAAGATCATGCCCCGGCCCTGGCAACAAAATTGTGGGTGGGGTAGGTGAAGCACCAACACTTGCCCCCATCCTCATTTGCCCCACTCTGGGCCCATGAGCAAGGCCCTTAACCCCCCATCTGCTCCCTAAACAAGTCTCTCTTGAAAATGAGTTCTTGTGGCTCAATGCGACTACCTGTATAAATAAAGGGTAAATGAAAAAAAAAAACTATTTATTCTATTCTATTCTATTCTATTTTGTTCTTCTCTATTCTATTTCATCATTGATTTTAGAGGTGCAATGAGTCAGGTTCCTAAAATTTAAAGTGCTCAGAAATGCTGAAGACTGCTTGGAAGAACTTGTAGTTTTGAAGGTTGTATGGAAGATAGTGTAGTATAATTGCTTTATGGGTAAAAAAAAGTACCAGGTTTCTAAGCTTTTAAAGGTTGCATGGACATCTTAAACAAAATGTGTTTTAGTTTTAACAGTGCTTATGAGCTTGTGATATTTGTAACCAGCATAATAAATTATGAAAAAAAAAGTGATTTTTGTAAACACCGAATTTTTAAAGGTTCCACATTGCTGAAGTTTTTTTTTTTTTTTTGCAATTTGTATCGTTATTTTAAAAGGTGACAGTTTGAAATTAAAATTGGCCATTGTTTGGACAGAGAAAATAAGGTCTATGTCAAAAATATGTAAAGCTGAACGAGTATACTGTTGTAATAGGCTAAATGATGGGCAGATTAATTTCTATGTTGTTTAACATAACATTTTGACACAAAACTTAAGCAGATCATGTACATCAGAATTACAATTTTTAGCTTTCTGACTAAGACTCTTTTATTTATTTTTTTGTTAAGTCCTGGCTAGGTTCATTGTATGGATAGCAACCTGTACAGAAACTATTGTCAAACATAATTAAACAAATAAACCAAATAAATAAAACGTTTTTTTTTGTTTTTTTTTTTAATTAAATCTAGTAATGAAGAGGTAGGTTCGTGTAAATATATGACGTTGACGCGGACAAATAAATGCGTATGGACATTCAAACCACGAGGAAGAGCTCGAGCTGTTACCTTGGAAATGTCTGCGCGCCCCCGCAGCACGCGCCGGTCGTTTTGATGTGATTGCTTTATGCGCGCTCCCGCAGACGATCTCAACAACATCCAGAGGAAACAGCTGATGTCAAGGACAAGAGTAGACACGGCAGCTAAGGGAAACCCTCTCGTAAGCGAATTATAATGTTTTCTTAATCCGCTGCTAGCATCGTCTGGAGGTGTTGTTTGCTTTGAAGTGCGGCTCGCGCACGGTTTTTACCGTGTTCTAGCTTGTTGGTCCTCCAGGAAGTGGAGACTCATCTTCCGCAGCAGGCCTCCATGAAATAATGTCGAGCATTTTAGCGCATTACCTCTCGAAAAGGCTGTCATAAATCATTTTTGCTTTGTTTAGCGCTTATATTTGTCCACATTTTTTAACACGTGCTGCATTTAGCTTACGTATTCTAAATAAATCAGCTGTGTTCCGTATCGTTTCCATAGTAACCTTGGCTCTCTACTGATGTCACGATTTAATCTGATATGCTTTTACTGCTCTGCATCCAGTGAAAATCATTTTTACACAGTATGTGATATGGGTTCGTTCAATTAAAATGTTACAAAAGCAGCCTTCTCCTCTGTTGATAGCCATTGTGGTTGGATTGATTTCTCAGATTCTCATGCAAACCTGTCGTTTGACTAGCAACAAACAGTGGGACCGTCAAACATTTAATAACATATAATATAGTTTGTTTTTTTAACAGACAAATTAAACCTAGTACAAGTAAAATAAAATATTTGGAGGTACAGTATCTGTTCTAATCTGTGCTGCTAAATGTTCAATCAAAATATACATTTACATGTACATTTATACATTATTTTATACATACAGATACAACCATATATTTTATTGAATATTATTAGTTAGATAATGCAATTAAAATATTAAATTCAATACCATATTAGGTAAAGGTATACAATATAACATTTAAAAAATATTTTTACTGTGCTAAAGGTGGGCTACATAAAGGACAAGTTACCAGAAAATATTTGGTCCATATAGATAAATAAACAGCCTTTCATTCATTCATTCATTCATTCAGTCATTCATTCATTCATTCATTTGATGTAAGTGTCGTGGAAAAAAGTGACTCCCTTAAATACCATGTGTAAGGTGTATCAGATTTATTTACAAAGCTTTGGTGAACAGCCTGCCAGTGGTGATTTTAAACTTTTCTTTGGTATGCTCAAGCACCCCTAAATTTTAACTCAGCACCCCTGAAAATTTTAAAAACCATCATTAGGATTTTGTAAAGAAACTCAGTTCTCAGACACACAAAGTTTGTTTTCTCAGTCATCCAGGTAGATAACAACAAAAAAGGTTGAATCATGTCATCTGGACTTCGTTTTTTTGTTAAAAAAGAAACGTTTCGCCCCTCATCCAAGAGGCTTCGTCAGTCTGAGGCCTAGCCATCTGGTATTACCCAGAAGCCACCCTGACTCTTGTGTTTCAAGCCTGCCTCAGATACCCCTGAAGTCTGGCCTTT